CTGTTGGTTAATAGACCGCCGCCTCCAGTTCCTTTCGGTACGACTGAACAGTATTCGAATCGCCAGTCTGAGCCGTTGAATGTTTCAATATGCGTATGTACATCATGCGGACTTTGTCTACGATGTTCTTGTATAGCTACGATATCAATGTTGTTCTCGCTGGAGTCGTGAATCAGTTGATGGAGTTTCCCGGCTGTCTTCAGAGTGAGCACGTTGTATGTTGAGATTGTGGTGTATTGACGATGGGCTAGTGGAGGCTGGTGCGTTGGTGCTTTGTTTTTGTTCTCGTTTTGTCGCAGCATTGTCGAGGGCAGGTGGCTGCACTGTCATATGCAATGAATTTGACTTCTTCGCGCTGCGGCAAGACGAGATCGATTTTAATTTATTTACATAAATCACCCATGAAATATCTCGAATCAAGCAGAGCATCATAATTTTCTGTTCTTAAAGCGTTATTAACGAATCGAAATAAAAATCCCTTTTTAGTATAGCATCTGATGCTTGATAGAGTTATTGAAATTCTTGAACTTGATTTAAATATGTCATGTTTGACTACATGCGACAATAATCTAACATTTCTTGTTTGGATGTTTCCGATATAGCTATGCACCGGCAAACGACATCTAAAGAGGGTGCATACACTTACAAGTGATAGTCACTTTAGATGGCACTTAGCCACTTTAAGTGTCACGTATATCTTTCTGTTTTGAACAAGATTTGAACAGCAGTGGTTACTAAAAAAAAGCCAACATTGCCACAAGATTTAGCATGACTGACTATCTACAACCCATCTGTTCAATGCTAACCATGAGCAGATGAAACAGGAACTGTCAGATGTCATTAGCTGAACTACTGAAGTTCGAAAATGAACAATTTTGTTTAATCCAGTCAGATAAAACACTCAATATATGAAATTTTATGGTTTTGTTAATAAATATATATGAGTTACAAAATTTGGGTGTTTGATGAGTTTTTATCAGAACTGTGTGTAAGCTCTTGTGCAATCACGTCCACCACAAGCAGAGTCTGACGGATAAAAAAGCTTTGTAACTTTTCTACCATATTTGCGCTGCTTCTTTCACAGGAATTCATTAAACAAGTTTTCCAGTACCCATTTAAAACTATGACAGCACTTCGGCTGCATAGTGCCGTAGTTTTTAAAAGTAACGAAGAAAGCGAGCGACGAAAAGATCGATTGTTGAGCGTAAGAAAAGCTTTTTTTCTTACGCTTATTACATCGTAGACATTGAGTACTATATAGTCTGAAAAATCCGTAGTTCCATCTCTTATAGTTCCATGGAAATCAAGAATTGACATTTTTTTCTAAGGTAAGTTCTCGAATTTTGCTCTTCTGAAAAACAAATCGTATGTACCAGGAAGGAACAGCACATTAAGGCCAAAAACTTAGATTTATAGGTTTCAACGTATGCTCTACATAATGGAATTGGTTTGAACAAAATCCGAGATGGTTGTGTGAGCATGCTTCTGTGGGAAACAAGCGTTTTTCTCATGTAATCACTCTTTTAAGAGTGGGAGTAACTTCCAAATTCGAAGTTACAGAACTTTTTTATTTTTGTCTGAGTCATATATCATTCGCTAGAGAATTCACGCTGATTAAGAATATCTGGTTTTCAGCCTTCCTAGTGCACATTATCAGTGAAAACAATCAAAAAACTTGAAGAATCTCGTTTTAGAACACTACTATTCTCTTTTAAAAACTGAATAACTTAGTTTCATCTCATTTCGAAGCCATGAAGCTATGTTTTTCTATTCAGCGTTGAAACGTAGAACGAAAGTATAAATCGATTTTTCCAAAAATTTTTCTGTTTCTGAGATATTCGATTTTTATTAAAATTTGGTCAATTTCATGTAAAATCGCGCAAGTCATTTTTCGTACAAAATTCACCAGATTAACAGACAATAGGTGAGAATCGATTCTGAATCTGATGAGAACATTCTCAAGATCTGTAGACAGTTTCTGGAAGGCTTCTGGATTAGTTTATGGCACAAACAACAAACGGTTTCATTTTTAATGGACAACATACGAGAAATAACGCCACCTTGCGCATCAGACGAAAAAGACTGTGCGAAGGATTCTGATTGGTGGACATGGCAAAAGTACACCGTGTAGGAGAAAATAAACAGCTTAGAGACATTTGGGTAAAAATTCGGGAACCCAGTGTCCTACACAAACAATACAGTTTATTGACAACAACAATACAAAACAAATTGTGAACTGTCTTTTTACCAGCACTGTCTAGCGGCCTCGAAAATGTTCTCATCAGATTCAACACCGATTCTTACCTATTGTCTGTTAATTTGATGAATTTTGGACGACAAATGAGTCAAAAATCGAAAAAAGTGGTTCCTATGAACCGACAACTGAAGAGCAACTGCAAGGAATGACAGTGTGGAAATATTTTACAGAGGAATTATTAAATACGAAGGATATTCTACGAATCTCAAAAGGTGCAATGAATTTGGACACAGAGTTTGATGATATTGGTGAAACACACCACAAATTATATGACTTCGGCAGGAATCTCAGATTTGAAACGAGTAATTTAGATCAAATTAAACGAGACTTAAGTCAGGTGGACGACTTGGTTCAAAGTGCTCCGAAATTAGCAGCAGCCGCTAGTCGTGTTCAAGTGAAACTCTACATTGGTGTGAAAGCAGCGAAAATCAGTTCTGGAACAATGATAATATACTGCGGAACTAATTGTCGAGTCGTAGGAAAAGTAATATGTAGGGAAGGAATTAAATCAAACGCGCCTGCATCAGTCTACAACTTTATGCAACAGCATCTGATCGATCTACATTGGGCGGGAAGGATCCTTGCCCACGCTGTGATAGGACTCATTTTGGGTTAAGTCATTCACGTGGGTGTTACGTTACAAGTCGTTCATTATACTTTGAATTGATGCAACAA